GCCTGGCAGTGACCCTGGCATCTTTCCTCGCTCCGCCGCACTCGTTGCATTGCCTGGTGCTCCCACCAGGATGGAACCCTTCACCACTCCATCCCCCGGGGACCTTGGTTTGGCGCAGTGGAGCCCAGCACCCTGATGCTATATGGTGTTACCCCCGCAGTACACGGGGGAGCCACGCGGGGCGCTGGGGAATGAGTTCCGTTCTTGGCAAATGTGCTAAACTTGAAAGGGCGAAGGGATAAAAGCAGAAGGGACAGTGGAAGGGACAGTGCAGAGCAGTGTTGTGTATGGTCTTTGGACTGAAAGACACTGCACGCTTTGCTTTGACAATTGGCATAGTCTGTAGATCTGGTTTCTTCCTAATTTGTTCTTGAGGAAAGCTTTGCAAGCTTTAATTTTCCATTGTGCTTGAAAGGAGGGAAACGAGTATCTGTAGTCAGTGTGAAACACAGTAACTAGGAACTGATTTATGTAAACTTTCAGAGCCTTTTTTTTGTTGTTGTTGTTATACTTGAGGGTGCCTTAACACCAAATGCATTTCATGGGAATTACGCCTCCTGGTTAGTCTAAATTACCTTGGCTCTAGATTCAAGATTAATACATTTGGTGCACCAAAATTAAATATTACTTAAAAGTCCACCTTGACAATTCCCCTTTGATACTAGTTTGAGATTTTAAGATTTTATGCATTTTCTTGTGAGTTCTGTTTCCAGCAGCTTTTAGAGGAAAAGCTGTAGGTGCACCCCCAAAAAAACTTGTCATGGCTTTCTGAGAAAAACAAAAGCAAGGGCTAAAACCCTTGTCTCTGTTGGCAGAGAGGAATGGAATTATGGATTTGACCTTCTCCATGAAGCAGCAGCAAAAAGGCTCTGGATCTTTTCTAATGTTAGTCTGGGAAAACAGCCTGGACTCAATATTAGGGAGCATATCTAACAAAGCGCTTAAACCAGCACTTTACCTGACCCATGTAGAAATGCTCTAAACTTCTGTTATATCACCTGCAGTGAATTGCAGCCCTGTCTGCCTTGTGGAAACTCTTGAATGGCACGCTCTGTGCCTTGCTGAACCAACAGCATATTGCTTCAGCCATGGTTAACTAACCATCGGGGCTGAAATAGAAGGAAGTATCTGGCAGCATGTGAAGGCCACTTTGTGGGATGGATGTTGTGATTGATGCTGGGCTGTGGCACACCATCCTGCACAGAAAGTACTATGCTAAACGTACTTTAAAATAACAAACAAGTTTATTCCTTGGTGTGTGCACCACAGTAAATGAACTCAACGGATCTGTCCCCTGCCCCATGGGAAAGTGCAGCCTGGTTTCTGTGAGGGAGGACCTGGCTCTTGACTCTCGCTGCTGTGGTACCTGTTTGCTGCTAAGTCATCTCTGTTGTCCCTGCGAAGTCTTAAAGTGCCTCTTTCTGACAGCGTCAGGAAACTCCCTTGCTCAGAGCTTATTAACTTTGCTTTGCTTTTTATTCACAAAGCACCTCTAAAGTAAAAACGTGAGTGAATTTTAAGCAAATAAGCAAATACAGCTGCATGTTTGCATTGGTGTGGCAGTCATTTCTGTGCTTGTGGTCGTTTCCTCTTGTTTTGTTTCATCAGTCGAAATTACTAGGCGGGACTTCAGTGGTGTATCACCACCAGCCATCTCATAGCTTCAGATAAGACTTCAGCAGACATGACAGGAAGAAATGGAGCTTTTGCTCTAGCCCTAGAGGTGTTTGCACTGCCATGGAGGAGCCTGTGGTTTCTCTGGTGCTTTCACTGTTGTTGCTGGAACAGCTGTTGTGATCTGCTGCACCTATTTACTGCCTGAGATCATAGAATAGTTTGGGTTGGAAGGGACCTCTAAAGGTCATCTAGTCCAACCCCCCTGCCGTGGGCAGGGACATCTTCAACGAGACCAGGTTGCTCAGAGCCCCGTCCAACCTGACCTTGAATGTTTCCAGGGATGGGGCATCCACCACCTCTCTGGGCAACCTGTCCCAGTGTTTCACCACCCTCAGCGTAAAAAATGTCTTCCTTATATCTAGTCTAAATCTACTCCCCTTTAGTTTAAAGCCATTCCCCCTTGTCCTGTCGCAACAGGCCCTGCTAAAAAGTCTGCTGCCAACTTTTTTATAAGCCCCCTTTAAGTGTTGAAAGGCTGCAATAAGGTCTCCCCGAAGCCTTCTCTTCTCCAGGCTGAACAACCCCAACTCTCTCAGCCTTTCTTCATAGGAAAGGTGTTCCATCCCCCTGATCATTTCCGTGGCCCCCTTCTGGATCCGATCCAACAGGTCCGTGTCTTTCTTATGCTGAGGGCTCCAGCGCTGGACGCAGTACTCCAGGTGGGGTCTCACCAGAGCAGAGTAGAGGGGCAGAATCGCCTCCCTCGACCTGCTGGCCACGCTTTTCAGACTGTTAAAAACTGTTGGACTTCCTGGGAGGTAAACTCAGCTCTACTCTTCCATCTGCTGCAACGTATCTCTTTATGATTAAATCTATGCTTTGGACTTCAGAGATCTAAACTTGGGTACTGGCCAGGACAGTCACACTAGGCTTGTAAAAGCAGAAATAGCACTGTGTATCCTGGCTCAACTGCCTGACAGGAGGATATATAGGTGTCCCCCTATACTTAAGCGTACTGCTAGAGAAGGCCTGGTTCTGTGGGTAGAGTAGATGGGAAAAGAGGAGAATGTGTCTTTTAAAGATGACTGCTGTACTGAAGGCTTAACAGTCGTAATGTTCGATTCTCTTTAACAAAGTGTGGTTTTAAATGGTGAAAGAAGGGAAAAATATGTTTTTTTTTTTCTCAGAGAAGGAAAGTGTTAAGTACTTTAGGTCTAGAGGCTTAAATATAAAATTAAGAGCATGGTCAAGAACAGAGGTGCCGTGTGAAGGAACATAGTAAATGCTACCATGTTGTGGAGCTTTGTAGCAAATATGGGACACAGGGTGGTTATCAAGGAATAAATGGAAGGGAAACAAGTACCATTCTGGGATCTGAGACCTCTTGACAGGAACAGATGATAGCATTGGGGTTTTAGATGAGTTCTCAGTTTTGGGGAAGGCTGGCAGTTGGTTCTCCTCTGGGGAAATGAAACACCTCAGAAGCAGCTGTTCCACTCACTGTCAGGTGTCAGGATCATTAGTATGGCAGCAAACTGGGGGACAAAAGAGAATAAAAAATCCTAGTATCTAGGATTCTTCTTGTACATGTCTGACTTGAAAATAATGGACTGATGAGGATAAAATGGAATAAATGCTGTATTTTCTTACAAGTGGCAAGCACAGTGTGCATCCAGGGAAGTAAGGGTCAGTCTTGGTTTGTGATAAATGAGGGGAGAGGTTTGACCATATTTTGTTTTTGAAGGAGAGTAATCTTTGCTAGAGGACAATATATCATACCAGATCCAACAGCCTGAGAGAGATGAGACTGCTGCTGCTCCATGTCCAGACAGTAGTGAGGCTGAAGATGTATTCAGCAGGCACACGCACACAAAGCTCACATATACACTACATATATGTGTACATATACATGGCTGGCCACACAGATCACAGGCAGACACTCAGAGCACCCACATGAACATAGGCAGGACCAATAGCCTCATCCTGCTCCCCTCTCTGGCTGGACAGGATGGAAGTCCACAGGTGACAATATACATAGACATATGTACAAGGTGGATCCCTCCAGCAGCTGGGCTTAGACACTCAACCCAGTAGCTGCCCCTGGATCCCAGTCTCCCCAGTTGCTGGCACCCGGACATATAAGTCCCCAAGGCTGCAGCCCTACTCCAGTTGCTGGTACAAGCCATCAAGCGCGCGTGCACACACACAACACACACAGCTGGCGAGGACTTTCCATGTCCCACAGCCGACCCCCCTGTCCTCTCGCCCTTAGAGCCACACAGATGCTCTCACACCCAGAGCTGGCCCTTAGGGACCCACTCATGCTCCTGGCTCCCAGGCTACTTTGCATACTTACAGACTGGTCCACTTGATCTTTCCTAGCCATTGCACACTTGCACACCCACGCTCACTCCAGTTGCTGGCACCACAGACACATAGGCCCTCCGACCTGTGGTCTGACCCCAGTTGCTGCACTCACACCCCAATATGCACACGTGCACACAGAATTGAAAGCCCTCACCCAGGAAAGAGTCAGAAAGGAATTTAATAAGAAGACAAGAGAGACTGCGCTGATCAGACGCAGGGCACGGCCAGACAAGCATACTGACCACCAAACTATTTACCTGCATCTGGCCCTTGTTATCCCCTTAAATCTCTATTTTCCCATTCTTGTTCCTCCCAAAATCACCTAAACCCCTCCCTTGCCCAGCCTTTGGTTCCTTTGCTAAATATCTCATAATAAGTCCTGTGCGATTCCAAACTGTTCTTCCCCTGCACCCCATAATATGTCCCACCCCTAGGCAGTGACCCCCTTAGAATGAAAGGTGATCTGAAGAGCTGCTTCTGGTGGCTGTGGTGATGGGTTTCATGCCTGGACACTGAGACAGCCCTGGGAGAGGCCCAGACAAGGTGCTGGTTCCTCCGGAGTCCTGGATCCAGGATCCCTCCTGCCGCTGTGCTCCTGTGCTCCTCTGGGCTTGGGCCGCGGTGCCTTTGATGGGCTGATGGCCCCTGTGATGGGCCTGGGAGTAGCCCAGCAGGGTATATTTGGGCTCCCACTCCTGCCATTGTCCCTCTGAGCTTTTTGTGGGTGTACAGATGAGCTTTGTCACTTAACCTCACAACCTGAATATGGGCTGTGGTTTCTGATGGGGCCCTGTGGGCACTGTGGCAGCATGGAGAAGCCAAGATGCTTTTTTAAAGATGACCTAAAGGTGTAATCCAAGCATGCTGGCATGAAGGAGAGTTCAGCATGCGACTCTGCCATAGTACTGTCCTGAGGCTCATGATCTGTTGCCTTCCCTGTCAACATCTTTTTCTTCTTTCCTCTCCTTCAGATCACGACGTTTGTCTTGGGAGAGCAGGCTCTGACGGGAGCGAGAATGCTCAGGATGCCCAACTGCCTGCTAAAACTGACCAGGGTGGTGCTGAGCCACAAGCTCAGGGCTCTGTTTATCCTCACCTTTAAGTTCATGTCCTTTGCCTCCATCATGTTGTACTGGAGAATCACAGAGGACCCTAAGGGCAGGGGCCAGGTCTACAGCTTGCCTGTTGAAATCCGCTGTGCTCACTCTGTGCCTTCTTCTCCCCGCGCCATTGCTGGTGGGCCCCCTCCTCCACCAGGGGATGTGTTTTTTGTGGAGACCTCGGAGCGAACTAACCCAAGTTACCTGTTCACGTGCTCTGTGGAGTCAGCGGCCCGGACACACCCCGGGACAAGGGTCGTGGTGCTCATGAAAGGCTTGGCGAACGGTAACGCCTCATTACCCAACCACTGGGCATTCTCGATGCTGAGCTGCTTCCCCAACGTGGAAATCCAGCCCCTGGACTTGCCGGAGCTTTTCTCTGGAACACCTCTGGCAAAGTGGTACTTGCAGGCTCAGCGGCGCTGGGAGCCTTATTTCTTACCCGTCCTGTCTGATGCCTGCAGAATTGCCATCATGTGGAAATTTGGTGGCATCTACCTGGACACAGACTTCATAGTGCTTAGGAACTTGAAGAACCTCACCAATGTGCTTGGTACCCAGTCCAAGTATGTACTGAACGGGGCCTTTCTGTCCTTTAAGCCCAAACACAAGTTCATGGAGCTTTGCATGCAGGACTTTGTGGAAAACTACAACAGCTGGATTTGGGGGCACCAGGGTCCACAGCTCCTAACGCGTGTCTTCAAGAAGTGGTGCTCCATCAGGAGTCTTCGGAGCAGTACGAGCTGCAAAGGAGTGAGTGCTCTGCCCCGTGAGGCTTTTTATCCCATTCGGTGGCAGGACTGGAAGAAATACTTTGAAGTGGTCAGCTCCTCAGAGCTTCACAAGCTCCTTAAGAACACCTACGCGGTGCATGTATGGAACAAACTGAGCCAAGGGACAAGGCTGGAGGTCACATCCCAGGCTTTGCTGGCTCAGCTGCATTCTAACTTCTGCCCTGCAACGTACAATATCATGAAGAAGGACTCTGAACGGCAGTGAGTCAAGGGTTTGCTAAGAGATGTTGCCTGGGAGCCCACAACTCTCCAGCTGTTCCATCACAAATGAACATTCTTTTGAAGTGAGGTGGTGGGAGTTGAGGATAAAATCCATTTGTGGGGTGTAGGTGGAGCCTGTAGCTTCAGCCGATGTCTGTGCAGCTCTTTGTCTTGACTTTAACTGCTTACCAGCAGCATTTTGTTTCTCTGCAGGGCCTTTCTTCTGCTCTGCTTGGTCAGGTAGAGAAATCTCAGGAGGGGAGCAAGTGCTGGGCCACTTGTGGCAGCCTCCATCAGCCTTTCAGAGGAGTAAGGCCCCTTTCTATGGCTGTAAACCTGGAAGAGGCCTTTGTAGAAATGCATATCTCATAGCCTGATTCTCAGGACTTCTGAAGTGCAGTCCTCAAAGCAATGAAAGGATGGGAGAGCAAAGAACAGGAACTGAGGAGGAAGTTAAGGATGTGCTAGAGGAGGTGTCCTGAGAAAAATGTAGAGGAAAACAGAAAAGAAAGCAAGCGCTAAAGCAACTTCTTTTTCTTTTCATTCCCTCCTTTTCTGAAGCCTTTGGTGGAGGAGACTTTCTCATGTCTGGTTTGAGCAGGGAGCGGGATGCTGCAGTCTCTGTTCAATGTCAGATCTAAAGACGTGGAAATTTGATGCAAATCAGAACGTGAGGATCTGAGGCCAGCTCATCATTTAGAAGGAGCTCTTGCGCAGCAATGTTTTATTTTATAATAGTGGCAGATTAACACCCTGTGATGAGCAGGAGAGCTCACCCAAATCACACCTTAAATTGCACCTGACACAGGAAGAGCTGAACTATCTTTTACACTGAGTTTGACTCTGTGACCAAATGTCCGTAACTGCATCTAAGATGCACCAGATCTTTCAGTGCTTGGACGGATCCTGAAGGAAAGGCGTGATATTTACAACTATTTCCAAGGTTACAGAGAGCTTGGTAGGGAACTCGTACTGTCTAAATTCAAGTCCATTTATGAGTCATTTATGGTGGACGTCTTTAAGTAGCCTGGCGTACTCCTGCAATTCACTGTCCAGGAGTACAAATCTCTCCTGGGAGGTCCTGAGGAGGGCAGTGGAAAGTTTTACTCTTCTCCCTGAGCACCTTCCTGAATTGCAGTAGAGAAAGTTAATGTATCTCTCGCAAGGTGCTGTTGTGCCTTTGAGGGTTCCCACCACAGAGGCAAGTTTGTTGCATAAACTGTGGGGCAAAACTAGTCCCTTGCCTTAATGGCCAAAAGGACGTATTGATGCTCTTACAGTTCTTGTCAGAAAATAATGGAGAAAGAGCAGTGAAAAGAATAAGGTTGAGACCGTCAGCATTGTTACATCTGGTCCCCACCACGCTCTAAAGGGAATCACTGAGGCACATGAGCTTGGCTCTATGATAGAGTTAATGCAGATAAGCAGGGCATTGGCCATCCCCTCTCCTACACTACTAAGAGATTATGATCTCACTGTAAAATCTTTTCTGCCTCCAGTGTGCCTCCTCTTCTTATGCCTAGGAGCAGCAGTGGGGTGGTCCAATGTCCCCTTTGATGACCATGAGTCAGTCAGATCTTAAGTGTCACCTGGCCCCAAAGTGACAGCTCTTTCACGTGGTGCTTCCTGCAAGTCCTCTGAGTGTGACTCAAATGATTTCTAGATCTGCAGTTGTCTGAGGCCTCTTCTGTTTCCCAGGTCAACCAGAAGCAATGTGAGGTTTTCTCAATTTAGCCAAGGAATGGTCAAAACCATAAAAGACTGTGCATGCAACATTTCTCTGTTTGTCTCAGGATTATTTATCTCTTCTTTGATGATAAAAATGAGAAAGACATATTGCCCATCACTTTTACAGAACAGTTCCCTGTCCCTCAGGGAACATGGCTGTGGGAGCTTAAGGAGGGTGTGCACCTTTTGGTTTTTTTATGCTGAGCTGTCCAGTGTTGATCAGAGGCCAGTGCTGCTTTGATTGAAAGCTATCTGCCTGTGAGTTGGGCAGTGTGTGAGGTCTGTGCACAGGTAGCTACTGTGGAGTGAAGAAGGTACTGGAAACACCCCTCCAGTGCCTGGCACCACATGCATGTATGTATGTAGTGCTGCCCCTTTGTTCTGCCCAGCTTTATGGTATATCCTGGAGGCATTCAGGAGTTTGAACGTCTGCAGCTGTCCCAACACTGAACATCTTTAACAACAAAGACTTTGTGGGGAAGCAGCAGATCTTCCTAACTGTATAAGCATTCTTCAGCACACTAAGTGGTATAAATGGATGCTGTTTTCAATCCCTACTCTCACTGTCACTACTCTGTGGGTTTTTTTTCACTGTTTTCTTTAGAAGCAGCCACAAAATTGTCAGCCCTAGCCTAGTGTGTGGTCAGTGAGGCATGGTTTCTCATTGTACTGGTTCCTTCTGTTTTAGGCCCTTTGGACTAAACAACAGAAATCTTAGTGAGCTAGGAACCCCTACCAGAGATGGTAAAATGGTGGTTGGTGACCATAAAGGTATAACAGGGGACTCTACTGTGGCAATAGCATGAACTGCTTATGGAGTGTTTGGGACCCACTGCAATGACTATCTGGCTTTATGTACCACTGCTTATTCTAGGGAAGTGCCTTTTTGGATAAGTGGAGTGGGGTTTTTTGTTGTTGTTTTTCATTGTTTTTTCCCCTGTAGAGTCACTGTTCTGAGGTTTGATAAGGAGAGAATCAAACCAAAGCAGCCTTTGGCCTTCTTCCCTTTGTCTTGCAAAAGAAAAATAAATACAGTTTTTACTATTACTTCTCTCTGCCAAGATGTTCCATTTTGTTCTGCGAGGCGTTGGTGGTAGGTCTGAGCAATCTGTTAGTTATTATGCAGAAAAGCATTTTAAAGTTGTGTCCTGAAGTGACTCACTAAAATTAGGAGTGTGGAATGAACATGAGACAAGTTGAGCATAAGCAAATGTGGAAAGAAGGCTCTGTGGACCACGACTACATGCTATCTTTGGGACTTGAGCGGAGGGAACAGACGAAAGCACAGTGTGGTGCTGATTCCTAATCCAACCAGGTATAGTCCCATCATTCATGACCTGCAATCTATCTGAAGCAAGGCATTTTAGTCTCACTCTGAAGGTCTGGATGTTACGGAATAGGAAACTCCATGAGAAATTGTGTTGCTTTTTCCCTGGGTGGTGGGCTACAGCCTCCCTTAGTAGTGATAGTGTCTGTGCTCTTGTAGACCTAAAAGTGGAAAGCTTGTGCTGCAGCCATTGATTTTCCCACCTGCCTTTCAGAGCCTGATCTAAAGACCCTGGAATCCAGGAGAGCATTTTGAGAGGCTGTGAAAGGACTGGTGGGGTCTGGTGTGCAGGGTTTTATTGTGACTCCTTGAGTCAAGAGCCAGGGAAACAGTTTCCCCTTGAGATGTAAAATAGTTGCCTGTGCTTTTTTCATTGCTGATATGCAGTCAAGGATGATGGGGAGTGGTGAGAAGGCACTAGCTGTTTCTTGCCCTGTCTTCTTTGCCCTTGAGCTCATGAAGGTTAGCTGGTACCCAGGTGTGCAGTACATCAAGGAGAGAAGCCAGGGGTGGGGGTTGGAGATGCAGAATTGGACAGTGCAACAGAAGAGGAGTAAGGAAGGATCGGTAGGGTAATCCTGGACCTGGTCCCCTGGGAAGAAACTGAATGATGATTATTTTCTCTGTGCTGGCTGAGAGTGCTCCTATGCCAGGAGCTCTTGTGTTGGGGGGCATCTAGGATGCGCAGTAAGTAGTAATGCTCTGTAGGGCTCTTTTTTTCCCCTGTTCTTCTCCTCCCTGTTTCTTCTCCCTCCCCCCAAAATGTGTGGTCCAGGAAGGCTGTGGTGCAAAGCAGATTAAGAGCCCTTCTTGGAGGCAAGTGTAGTTACCTGCCTTAATCATATACATGTTGGGAGCTGAGGTCTGCCTAGGGCTGGTTTGTACTCAGCCGGAGAGAAGAAGAAAAACAAAGCTCTCCACATGCTCTGTTTGGATATGCCATTTGTGAACACCGGCACACTGATCTTTCTTAGGTACTTCAGGTTCATCTCTCTCAATTTGTGACCATTCCGTGTGTGCACTTGGCTTGTGGTCTCTCTGGTACCTTCTTTGCAAACCATGCCTGGAACTCAGATGAATAGGCATAGTCCAGAAGAGAAAACTACAGGAGGAAGTCACTTCAGCTGCACCCTGCCATCACAGCTCAAGCCGAGATCTTGACCTTTAAATTGGTGTATAATGATGGAGCCAAATAGCAGCTGCCGTGGCTCTGCAGTATGTTGGTAGAGGCACGGGAAGTAAGAAAGTACTCTTCACAAAGTGGAATCTATGTCTAGGGGGGAAATTAGGTAGGCGCATAACGTCTGGCAAGTTAAATATGAAAACACCATTAGGCTATAGAAAACATTGTTTGAAAAACAATTAACAAAAGATATTAAAGCTACCAATGTTGTTGGGTTTTTTTTTTCCAACTGCAGAAGGAACAGGAAGCCTGCCAGAGAGGTGGAAGGTCAGTAGGAGATGAGAGATTGAAAGGGAGTTCAGAGATCAGTTTGAAGCAAACCAAAGTTAATTTCTGCATCTGGCTACAGGTGGGAGGAACTGGGGCATGTTTCTCTACACTGTAATCCCTCCTTGTGAGGGATGCATGCCACAGTCTCTTGCACATCACCATGTCCATGGAATACATGTCAGGACTGAATGAACAGACAGATGATGGGACCTGATGGGATGCATCCATGAGTGCTGCGGGAGCTGGCTGATGTCATCGTGAGACTTTGTTATGCTTGAAAGGTCGTAGAGATCAGGGGAGGTGGAAGGAAGCAAAAGTCACTCCTATCTTGCCTATCTTCAGGAATTGCAAGGAAGAGGATCCAGGGAACTACAGGCCAGTCAGTGTCACCTTGACCCCTGGAAAGGTGATGGAGCAAATCCTCCTGGAATTCATCTGCAAACATATTAAGGACAAGAAGGTAGGACAAGGAGTAGCTGGCATGGATTTACAAAGGGG